GTGTGTGTGTGTGTGTGTGTATGTATGTATGTATGTATGTATACATGTGGAGGCCAGAGGACAATCTAAGGTATCATTCTTTGGATGCCATCCACTTTATTTATTGAGACAGGGTCTCTCTCTGGCATTGGCTTGTTGGTTTGTCTGGATAACTGGGCAGCAACCCTAGGGACCCTCTACTCTCTCCCAGTGCTAAGATGGTTATTGGCAAAGCCACCACACCTGGTTGTTTCCTCTGTGTATTCTGGAACTTGGTTCCTCACACTTCTGTAGCAAGCACTTTATCTTGAGCTATCTTTTTAGCCCTCAACAATGATCATATATGGAAGGATGCAAAAATAAGTGTTTTATGTTCTTAATGACCTTTGAACTTTCATATTCTGGAATTAAAGCCAGGATTTCAGTGCCCAAGTATAAAATGAATAATTTAAGCCCAATGGAAAGCTGACCTCTTTAGAGTCTAGGTTTTGATCACTTTGTGAAGGTCTCCATGTGTTCTGGAAAATGTGTTTCATTTGTAGCATGCACTTCTGTGGTGTGTGTGTGTGTGTGTGTGTGTGTGTGTGTGTGTGTGAGTGTATACACATGTGTACTGGACTCTTCACTGGGAATATTTGAGGATGTATGATCATTTATCTTTTTTGTATGTATACAAGTATTTTGCTTACTTATGTGTCTGTGTACCCTGTGTATGCCTGGTGCTCATGGAAGTCAGAAGAGAGCATCAGATCCTCTGGAGCTGGAAGGAGGAGTGACTGTGAACCACCATGTGGGTGCTGGGACTCCAACCTGGTCCTCTGCAAAAGCAACCAGTGCTCTTGACCACCGAGCCATCTTTCCAATCTGAAAAGTACAACCTTATTCAGAATCTGAGGACATGTTACAGACTGGAGATGAGATTTTAGGACCTCTGCACATTGCATCGTTCATGTCTGAAATGTGGCAGTAAGTGCCAGCTGTGTTACAGGGGTGATTCAAGTGATACACAGGAAACTCTCAGGATTGTGCAGGGAAGATGCTTTGAAAACTTAAGACCTTTTTATTCTTTGAGTAATCGTACATCATGTAGAATCGTGTTGGGGCATTTCTTTCCTTTATGTCATCATTGGAACATTGTAGCAATATAGAAGACCCATACCACATATTCCTGGCCTTTTTGGGAGGGCGGGGTGAGGCAGGGCAGGAGGTGGGGCAGGGCAGGGTGGGAGTGGGAGTGGGCAGAAATCTGCCCATCACTTTCCTCGCTCATTTGTATCCAAAGGTGTCTGTTGAGTGTGGTAAGCTGTACTCTGGGTGTGGCTGGGTTATATTTCAGCCATTGTATCTAAAGGTGTCTGTTGAGTGTGGTAAGCTGTACTCTGGGTGTGGCTGGGTTGTATTTCAGCCATTGTATCTAAAGGTGTCTGTTGAGTGTGCTAAGCTGTACTTTGGGTGTGGCTGGGTTATATTTCAGCCATCAAATTCTTTGATTCACATGTGCCATAGTTTGCCAGTGTCTGTCATTAATGTCAAGGTGTGGTCCATAAAGCTACCTGAACACTAATAGTGCTTCTTTGTCGTTTCTTTGGCTTGGACTGCAGTGAAGTGGTTGTTTTTTGTTTTGTATGTAACATTTGTAAATTCTCACTATGGTTTCATAAATCTTAGGACAACTCTTAGTTTGCTTTAACCTGCAAAGTTGTTTTTGCATCTCTGAAGTATGTAACAAAAGTATGGGAAACTACTAATAAAGAATAAATTCCTACCCGGGTGGTGGTGGCGCATGCCTTTAATCTCAGCACTTGGGAGGCAGAGGCAGGCAGATCTCTGTGAGTTTGAGGCCAGCCTGGTCCACAGAGCAAGTTCCAGGACAGCCAGGGCTACACAGAGAAACCCTGTCTCAAAAACAAAACAAAACAAAACACAAAACAAAACAAAATGCCTATGAATTGTCCCATTTTCTTGCAGTCACATGAATTATTTTATTGAATGTTCCAGAGACACACAAGCAAACTAGCCCCTCTAAGTAAATGTCTAGAGAAATAGAGTAATTCTAACACACTTACACAACTCATACATAACAGTAGCAGTGCTAGCTCTAGAATCTTTTCAGAGGGAAAAGAAAAGAAATTATGGGACAGAGTAAATGTCTCATTGGATAAAGGTATGTTGCTTAGCCTGATAACCAAGTTCAATTCCTGCACCAAAAGAGTGGGAGAGCCAAGTTCTTTCTGTAGGTTATCTTCTGACCTCTGCCTGTACATAGGCATATGGTAGATAAAAAACCTAATAAACAAATGAAAGAAAAAAATGATATATCATAAACTTTCCCCAGGACTGCTTTCTTAGATTCTTTCCAAAGTAGTTGTATTTTCTGCTCTTGAAGGAATTCAGATTGGAGTGGGCTCAAGCAGGAATGTGAGTCTGAGTCCCAGAACCCATAAAGGGAGCAGGGTATGGTGGTTCCCATTTGTAATCCCAGCTCTGGAGAGACACTGGCCAACCAGTGCATGTTCACTGAGATGCCCTGTCTGAAGGCGAAAAGGCAGAGTATGACAAAGAGGGAGGGGCACCCGGTGTCTTCCACCATCTTCCTCACACACCACGTGTACAAGAAATTGAATAAAACCAAGCTATAAAGATTTTTGTCAAGAATATATGATATTGTTATGTCATGAAATTAGTAAAATGGTGTGACAAATTAGCACATTGAGAATGGAAGGGTACCAAGGCTCAGGTGACCCTTTGGATCCCTTCCGTTTGAGTTATGAGTTAAAGAGACCCTCCCAAATGGTGAAGTCGTGAGACACATTGAGTTTTTCTGATTAATTTACCACAGATAAATAAATCCTATGTTCATTAAAAAAAATTGTAGTTTTTTTCCCCCACAGACATGATCATAATTAATGTTTTAAGAATTTTCATTCAAATCAAAGTTCACTTGTAGCTGTAACTTCTGTCCCACCAGCAAGTTCCCAAATAACCACACAGAGACTTACTATCAATTATAAATGCTTGGCTGATAGCTTAGGCTTGTTACTAATTAGCTCTTACAACTTAAATTAACCTATATTTCTTACCTACATTCTACCATGTGGCTCAGTACTTTTCAAGAAGACAGGCTCATCTTGCTTCTCCCCGTATCTCCTGGCAACTCTGCCCATGTTCATTCCAGAGAGCGCTCTCCCTGTTCGAAAGTCCCGCCTAACCTTTTCCTGCTGAGCTATTGACCATTTAGCTCTTTATTAAACCAATGAGAGCAACACATCTTTACACTGTACAAAAAGATCGTTTCACAGTGTTCACTCTGACAGAAGCCATAATTAAATATTTTTCAAGATTTCACCCATACAGCAGAGTCCTTAAAGGAATTAGGTTGGGCTGTAGAATAGGATTTGATTTTTATTAGACATCACAAGATGGAAACTCATTTGACCAAAACACTAAACTTCATAGTGATTTTTGAGTTCTTGAGGATTCATAATATGATAGGCAATATTATACAAAGTACTACACACACACACACCTGTAATCTTCATAAAATAACCCTAGAAGGTGTGTATGGCACTCTAGGACTACAGTTGCCCCAGGTCCACCAGAAGTTATGTGGCTGTCTTTTGGCACTCTTCTGTCTGCCTTCTTTCAGGGTAGTAGCTTACTGTAGGATTTCAAGTCGAAAGTTAACTTTGGAGTAGCAGTCTTGGATTTTTAGATGATGTCACCTTGCCTATTGCTCTTCAAGAACAATGTTCTCTCTTTGGATTCAATATCACGAAACATCTTCCTGAGTTGTTAGGATGTGGGTTGTCACTGCCTGGTGGGGTTATGATTTAAGACAGGTGTCATGGGGGGTACTTGGGTCAGATGGCTTCCTCACAAGTCAGGAGAAGTGGGCAGGGGGTTAGACAGTGGTGTCACCTCAGACCTGTGGGGACAGTCTGGTAGTGACAAGCCTTCAGCCTTACCAGGCACCAGTGTGTCAAACAGCTGCCCCTAAGACACGCCACGAAGCTACCTTGGTCCTCGTGGTAGGATTTTCCATTTTCTGAGGTTAGGGTGTCAGGTGGACAGTGTGATAGAGAGCTCTAGCTAAAATCCCCAGTGTCATTGACAGAAGATTGTTAGTTTTTCTGAAAAGTTTGATACACATACTGGTTTTGTTTACCAACGTTTTTGGTTTCTTATACTAATATTTTTATTTTTTGTTTTATGTATTTTCATATTTATATTGTTCTTTCTGTTTTGTTTACTTACTGGTTTCTGTTACCTTGAACTGCTTTCCTCAGTTTTATTTTGTCGTATGTGTGTATGCATATGTCTTTGTTTTGTCTATTTGTCTTTCCATCTAATCTACTTATCAGGCTGTTTTCAGGGACTCTTTGGAGCTCTAGAAACCTGAAATGATCTGGGGTTAGGGTGAACTGAAGGCGGCATCAGTGCACACCTCTCTCTACAGATAGCTTTCTTCACATACATCCAGTATTACCTGGCCAGGAGCTTCACCTCCTAGTCTGCTCTCAGTTAGTGGTGGGCAGCCTGTTCTTCCTGTATCACTGATAATTCCCAAGAAGGATCTGCTTTATATTCTAACCAGAGAACCTGTTAGCTCTGAGTAGAATTAATAGGAAACCCAGGATTTTTTCTCCAGCTTGAAAAGTGCTATAGTAACTATATGAGTGGCAGATAAATTTGATTTTATTTTCTCCCTCAGGTCAGAATCACATGGAAAAGGTAGAAATTATTTATAATTTGCATGTCCTTATAATGATATTTAAGAAGCTTTACGGCTCTAGACCCTAGGCCAGGGCTTAGACGCGGTTTTATGGTAGCAAGCCTGGCGTTCCTTGCAGCAGGGTATGAACTGCAGCAGAATGCTATAGGCGATATTAAATTGGGGTGATGTTTAGTAAATGACAAATGTTTTACATTTCCTAATTCTGAAGAGGGTTCTTTTGGCTCTGAAGGGTTGCCCAGCGCTGGCCTGCCTGCTTTGTAACTGTCTCAATGGTTTTCTTCCCCAGCCCTCTACGACGAGATCAGTCAGTTTCGAAAGGCCTGTGGGGAGGCACATCTCAAAACCATCTTAGCCACGGGAGAACTCGGCTCGCTCACCAACATCTACAAAGCCAGCCTGGTAGCAATGATGGCAGGTGAGCTTTATGTATTCGGATGGGGTTCCTACTGGATTGAAGGTTTTAGGAGAAAGGAACAAATGAAAGCATTTGCATGTCACTGAAAGTGGTAACCCCTTGGGGAAGTCTTTTTTGTGGGAGGGATGAGACGTTTTGTGAATACATACACACAGAGTGAAGTGGTCAGACACTTGGGGCTTCCCTCCACCTTTCTTGTTTGTTTGTTTGTGGCATTTCTTTGCTGCACTATCCTTAGGTAGCAGCAGATGGCGCTCTTGTTAGCTATTTGCTTTTTGTGTGATTTGATTATTCATTCATCAACACATCCTGGGCAGGATTTCTCTGTGAGTTGAGTTGATTTTTTTTTTCTCCGAGACCTGCCTCTGTGCTTTCTGAGGTGGCCTCTGCTTTTGTCCTGCAAATATAAATAAGAACTAGTGTGATGTTGTTTTTTGTGCTTTCATATGGATGTTGACTCATTGCTTTGCACATACATACAGCAGATGTATCCATGTGTAAACTTTCTAGTTGGAGTTGGGCTGCATGTTCTCACCTCCACAACACCAGTGTTGGAGTTGGGCTATACATTCTCACCTCCACAACACCAGCAATTCTGCAGTCTCACCTGTTGCCATGCCTAATGCTCCCCCCAGCCCCCCAGCTCTGTGGAGATGCCACTGGCTGTGGG